GGTAGAGCGCTAGCCTTGAGCTGAAGAGCTGAGGGACAGCCTCCAGGCCCAGAGTTCAGGCCCCACGACCGGACCCCCCTCCCAAAAAGTTAAAATTAAAAATTAGGGGCTGGAAAGTTGGCTCAGTGGTATAGTGCTTGCCTCGCATGCATGAGGCCCTGGATTCCATTCCTCAACACCACGTTAGCAGAAAAAGAAGCTCAAGTGGTAAGGTGCTAGCCTTGAGCTGAAGAGCTGAGAGATAGCACCAAGGCCCAGAGTTCAGCCCCCATGACTGACAAAAAAATAAAAATAAAAATTAGGGCTGGGAAGTTGGCTCAGTTGTAGAGCGCTTGCCTTGCATGCCTGAGGCCCTGGGTTCGATTCCTTAGCACCACATAAGCAAAAAGAAAAAAGCAGGAAGTGGCGCTGTGGCTCAAGTGGTAGAGCTTTAGCCTTGAGCTGAAGAGCTGAGGGACAGCGCTCAGGCCCAGAGTTCAGGCCCACAACTGGACCCACAAAATAAATAAATAAGTAAATAAATAATAAAAATTAAACTTAACTATAGTTACCTTCTTAAACTTTACTTCCAAATCACAATGAGAAATATTTCAAGCAAGAAAAAAATATTTGTATTTATTATCTTGCCAATTGTTAGGAGATGCAAATTACATTTAAAAATAGAAGATTTAATTTTATTGCTATTTCCTCAATATCTTTATTTTGTCCAAAAGGCATTGACTAGACTCAAAATCTAAACCTTAGGCCAGATGTGGTAGCACACAGCTGTAATCCTAGCATTCCAGAAGCTAAAGCAGGATTATCACAAGCTAAGCACTAGCAACTCCCGCCTATAGTCCCTACTCAGATAAGAGGATCATGATTCAAAGGCAACCATAGACAGAAAAGTTCACAAAAACCACATCCTCCAAAATAATGAGCAAATAGTTGGACTGAAGACATGATTCTAGTTGTAGGAAACAGTAGAGCTAACAACTAAAGCAAAAGTAACTCTGGCATGGGGGTCGGGGTGGGAGGGAGATTAAGTTAACCCTTATCTTGAATGATAAAAATACTTAAATCCATAATAAAGCTAGGCTAGAGATACTGAAGAACTCTCCACCAAAAACAAAAAGGGAATATGCAATAAAACATGTTAAAACAGAGTTCCAAATGCATAAATCTTGTTAATCTCCAGTGCCAACATATTTAATACATTTTCAAAGGGAGCATTCAGGAAGTCATGTTCTTTAAAATGCTGGAATAGGACTAGGTAAAAGCCTGAATGATATCAAGATTCTCAATATAAGAAGGGTACAATGTATCACAGCAAATATAGAAACAGAGTAAACACAAATTTGAATTACAGTCTAATTACAACTACATGTAATTATGACTAATAATATAAAATTGTAGAGCAGCAAAAATTATCTGTAGGATTAATATTTTTACAAAGAGAACCAGTAGTTGAATGGGATGAGATAAATTACAAAAGATCACAGAGCAACTTTTGGGATAATAAAGGAGTAATGGTATAAGGAGTAATGGTAACATAACTATCAAAGCTCATAAGTGTATGCTTAAAAAATGGGCACACTATATAAATTAAACCTCAAAAAAAAAAACCCTGATTTCAAGTTACAAGTAGAAGGAATGAATTGAGAGTAACCATTCCAGTTAAGCCACCGAATCCAACCTTTTCTCCCTTGTATTTTGTTTTTGAGATGGAGTGCTATATTTACCTGGGCTGGCCTCCAATTTACAATCCTCCCCGCTCTACTTCCTGAGCAACTGGATACCATCATGCCCAGCTAAAGATTATCTTATAAAATGAGTGAGTTTACCACCAAATCAAGAGCAATGTTTTAAAAGAAACAAAAATGTACAAAATGACAAAAAAGAAACAAGGGAGAAATACCTAGAAATCCAAGTCTGAGAGCCACTACTTTCAGTTTATCTATACTTCTTCCACCATCATTTCTCCTAAGGCTTTTAAATAATTAGTATGGCTTCCCTACTATTTAAATTCTTGATGATTTTCACCCTTAACCTTTTCATATGTAAAGAACTGTCAGTTACCAATTAAGCTGATACAAACAATGAGTAATTTACTGAAAGCCTATTAAATATGCTCAGTGCTAGGGAATATAGTAAAATTGGTTAGAATCAAGTCAAAGTATGGATTCTACTATTTATCCAACTATTCTACTATTTATCCAACTTTAGGTAACTTAACTTTCCTAGGATGGATTTCTCATCTGCACAATGAGGATAACAATGCCTACTACCCAAGCACTGAGTCTATAAATATAAATTCTGAAAGATATAGCACTTAATTCTGAAGATACAGGTCAAACAGGGTGTGGTAGTACACACCTGTAATCCCAACACTTGAGAGACTGAGAAAGGAAGATCATGAGTTTGAGGCCAGATTGGACTATACATAGCAAAACATGTCTCAAAAGCAATGAAAAATAAACATGTATATTGTGTATGTGTACATATATATATATATATATATATCAAGACAAAGTTCAATAGTATAAAACAATAAGTATTAATGTCAAAAGATTGAGTTGAGCACCTATCACTGATTTATCTTTAGAATTAGATAAAGAAAAAAAAAGAAGTAGATAAACACAAGAGATAAAATGAATATTCTGAAAAAGGAACTCACAAATAAAGACATAAAACTTGAAAAGTGAAAGATGCTTCAAAAGAAATAAAAGATTGGCGATGGCACTTTCTAAGGGGAAATGACCCTTAACAAAAAATGTGTGAAAAAGAACATAAAGCATGGCTATACTTAACAATGTCTTGAAAAGTATAGAAGATGAAACTCCATGCCAGTTAACAAACTAATATTAAGAAGAACATGACACTAACATGAGTCATAGAATTAATAAGCCAAGAAGGACACCAAGGAGATGAGAATATGGACAACCATACAAATCTAGTAAGGCAAATAAAAAAATATAATCAAATAAAACTTTATACAATGACCGAAATGTTGTCTATGCTGCCCAACAATGATATGGCTGGTGAAATGTACTTATTTTTTTTTAATCTGTCGTGGGGGCTGAACTCTGGGTCTGGGCACTGACCCTCAGCTCTTCAGTTCAGGGGTAGCACCCTACCACTTGGGCCACACTGCTACTTCTGGCTGTTTTCTGCTTAGTGGTACTGAGGAATCGAACCTAGGGCCTTATGCATGTGAGGAAAGCACTCTACCACTGAGCCAACTTCCCAGCCTCGTGAAATGTACTTTAACAATGTGCTTTAAAAATTTAAGCAACACAGATGGCTACAAGTAGCATAGTGTAAAACATAAAAAAAGGAAAGGGTAGAAAAGCAAAATACAAGACACAAATATAGGCTGTTGCGAACATGCAAGTGTGTAGACACTAATCTGTCCAACAAAGAGATATAGTTGAGAAGACAAGTAAAATTTCCCAATAAAAAAATAAGTCTGAGAAGAGAAAAAAATGATGGAAATTGTGACTGAAGCACTAGAAACATAAATAAACATGTTAAATTATCATTTCCTTATACAACCATCTAAGGTTTAAAATATTTTTCAACAAGCCTTGAGAAACAAAGGACCTCCACGCATCTGGTCGAATCATTACTAAATGACCTCATGCTGCTGACTACATATATATGTGCACATCAGAGGAAAACTAGGAGGAAGACACAGAAGCAGAGGGAATTGGGAAAACATACAACAGTAGGACCCATCAGCTGCACTGGTCATTGATCAAAATGAACTAAGCAACTCAATGGCAGTGACCAGAGGGAGGGAATGAGTAGGAAAGAGGGAACACCTGACACTAAGCAAAAGGAAAGAAATGTACATATACCTGATGTGGAAGACTAACTGTATTGTCAAAGCTCATAGAACTCATAAACATTATAGACCACGATAAAGACAATTTGTACCATGAATGTTAGAAAGTGTTTGTGACTTTAATTATCACTATCTCACAATACTGTGAAATTTGTGAAAGTTATGCACTCAATCACAATTTTTAAAAAAAATGCAAAAAAAAGTTAATAGAATACTCAGATCTGTCACAATCAGTAATAATGAACAATAGCCCAAAAATGTAAAAATATTACAATGAAGATCCTGGAATGCAAAAGAACTTATTTCATGCTTATGGACTAGCAGTGTTAAAATCCAAAAACCCTAGAAGAAAAACATGTTTTAAATTATTTGCAATACTTATTAACACACTTAGATAAGACTCTATCATTCTGTCAACTGAAACAAGAGTATATAGCAAAGCAAAGCAAGCAAGCAAGTAAAAGCAGAAAGTCAGTCATTCCTAAGTTTATATCTAAGTCTTTCATTTTAAACTCCAAAGGTCCCTTCTTTCATGAAGCAATATCCTGTAAGAACCCAATGTTCTAGACTAATACTTATTTACTTATAAAAATAAAGGGTTAAAGATTAAGAGCTCTGATCAGTATCAGTATAGTAACTGAGTATAAATTTTGTCATACTGTCCTCAACCAAACAATTCAGAAATCTGATGTATCAGGCTAAGAAATGACAAATATTTTAGCTTCATGAGTCATAAGCAGTCCTTGTCCCAACTATGCCAATGTTTTTCTTTACAAACATCAAGACACATTTTTGGCCCCAAACTTTTTAATTTACAGATCCTTGTATTAGAGAAAAAAAGAACTTGTTTTGTGTATTTTCAGTTCTTATAATATGAACAATGTGCTAGTTTACCTTCAAACAGATGGCAATTTTCAGGTAAATTACTTGTTTTGGCAAGTTTTCTCATATTTTCAGGTAGATCCTCAAGTTTCCTCTTCATGACAGATTTGCTTCTCTTATCTTCAGTGTCTGAGTCCCCACCCACATTTTTTTTCCTACACTGAATTAAGTTAATCAATTCTTTGACTCTATCCTCATCATAATCCAAAGAATGAGATGATTTTTGTTTTCTAGGTTTTATAGTTTCACTCCTTGAATTATTTCGTTTTCTAAATTTCATTTTTGTGCCATTCATTTCTTCTTCTTGAACTTCATAATCTGAAAGTGGACTAAACTGCTGAAGTTTTCTATTTTCTTCGAATAGCTCTTTCAATCTAAAAATAGGTAACTGATACATTTCAGGTTGAAAAATATATGTATGCAAACATTCATCAATATGGGATTTATTTTTTGGTGCTGAGTATAAGAACTTTCTATCATCTAATCGTGCATCATAAGAAAACATGATAAACTCTCGTTTACCTGAGCCAAAACCTCGCTTAAAAAATTCACTTACATACTTTTCAACAACAGAATGAAAATTTATAGTATTTATATTTTTGAATTCCTTTCGACACTGAATCAACGCAAATTGTAAAAACTGAGTTATTTTTAAAACATCTGGCATGCTCTCATGCCTTTCCTGTGATGCTGCATTGGTTGGACCTTTTTGTGCTGCAAATAAAACAAAGCAAATTATGTTATTAATTAAGGAACTAATCAAACACAGACTTACAAAGTGTCAAGGATGTGCAACAACACTGATACACTAATTCTCAACCAGATGAGCATGCAACCCAAATATAAAGCATGTGTTTGTTTAAAACACACCAGTAAGAAACTCAAACAAATCAAAGAACAGAACATACTAACAGTAAATACCCACTCACTGGAGATCTTCATTTTCTACCATCCCTACACAATTCAAATGGCAGCAATCAAAATGTAAGGATAAGAGAGTAGTCGTACAAATGATAGTCATCCTCCCCCAACTGTCTTTCTCTCCTCCCCCTTTCTCCTCTCCCCTCTTCTGAAATGCAGCAATTTTAGCTCCACCTGAACTATCTTTTTTTCCATAAAGAGAAATACAGGTAAATAAATACCCAAATTGAAAGATTCATTCTTAACACATAAGTAAGCAATTTGTAGGATCTAACCAATATTCTCTAACATTAGCACCCAAAATTCTTATTCATATGGAATGATGTGATAATTAACCTAGCACATGGCAATTAAAAGTCATGAAAATTTGGACACAAAATTGAGTAAACTTAAGGGGAAAAAAACACACACAAGACCTTCATAACCTACCTATATAGTTCTATACCAATTATAATCAAACTTGAATAAAAAGCACTAAAAGAACAACAACAACCAATCACCACGGACAGTTGGATATTCCAGTAACTCCCCCAGATATTTGGGAGGCAGAGATATGAGAACAGCAGCTCACGGCCAGTCAGAACAAAAAAATTGAGTGAGACTTTCTATGAAAAAATGGACAGAAGGTTCATACCTGTAATTCCCAGCTATTCAGGAGCCAGAGGTAGGATGACTGAATCCCAAAGCAGACAAAACTGTTAGACCCTATCCGAAAAACTAATGCAAATAGAAAGGGTAGGAGGGTAAACTCAAGTGGCAAAGTGCCAACCAGGGCCCCTAAGTTCAAACCTCAGTGCCACCAAAAGAAGTTTTCTCTATAGTAAGAAAAAGTCATAGCCAGGCACCAGTGGCTCACACCTGTAATCCTAGCTAGTCAGTAGGCTGTGATCTGAGGATCACGGTTCAAAGCTGGCGAGAGCAGGAAAGTCCGTGAGACTCTCATCTCCAATAAACCACCAGAAAAACCATAAGTGGTGCTGTGGCTCAAAAGGTAGAGTGCTTGCCTTGAGCTGAAGAGCTGAGGGAACGGCACCCAGGCCCAGTTCAAGCCCCATGGTGACCAACCAAAACAGAACAAAACAAAACAAAAAAGCAAGAAAAAGTCATAAAGTACATATTTCTACTGCTAATTCCTCTAAATAACTTGAGTGTTGTCCAAAACCTGATGTAGAAAAAGATAAAATACTGCTAAATTTTTCATCTGAAAAAATTCAGTAAAATGTAGTCATCTTTTAGTAATTAGATTTCAATATTCAAAGAACTTACAAGTAATTATAGTTCTAGGTTCTTGAAATAGAAACAGGGCGTGTAGGACTCGAGACTTGACTGTATGATGTTCTATAAAACAGAAGCCAAATCAGCAAATAAAACAGAATCAAATTCATTAGAAATATATATTTTTTTAAGTTTAAATTGTAAAAATGAAACAGCAATTACCTACCATAAGGAGGAACCATCTGACAAGGAGAAAGAAGAAAAAGGTATCCTTGGTCTCCCAAAGGCTTAACAAGAACCTGAATTTTAGAAAGAGGGAAGAGGTTTTATTTGTTTTAATATCACTCACTGAAAGGAAGACAAATAGCACTTTCTGATAATTATGAAGAAAAAGAAAAAGAAAAAAAACAGGCAGGCTTATGCCTGTTGTCCTAGCTAAGAGTTCTAAGCCCACCCACGCATGAAAATCATCTCTAATTAACTACCGAAACAAAATCGGACGTGGAACTAGTCGAGCAAAAAAATCTCAGGGACAGTGTCCAGGCCCAGACTTTCAAGTCTCAGGACTAGAACAACAACAAAAGTTTGTAGTGTCTTTAATAAAAATAATTCTATTGAATTAAAAATGCTTTTTACCTCTGCAGGTAAAACCAAATACAAAAACTACACCAACTGACTGCTGATTAACAGAATGCCAAGCACAAGAAAATTTTCTGTTCCCATAATGTAATGACAATATTGCTGAAATTATTCTAATTAATTATGAAACCAACTTGTTAATTTTTTTCTGGGCTATAAAGACTAAAAATTTCTAAAATTTCCATTATCAATTCAGAAAATAGTGTCTGCTTGTTGGTAATAAAACAAGTTTTAAAATACTCTTTGACATCTGGGTAATTTTGAATAAAGTATGTTTCCATTATCTAATTCCATATATATTTAATGAGTACCTTTTACATTTCACACAATTTAAATTACTAATTAGGTGGAAAGACAAGTCATACAAAGCCTTTAATCAGGGGAAGTGATTAATTGGATAGAATATCAAAAATTTCGTTAACACAGAAAAGTTCCTTGAGAGATTTACAAAACAAAAAGAATGGAAAAATACACATGTTTGAAGTTAGTAAAAGACGATCAAAGAAGGCTCACTAAGTGTATTAAAGATAGATTTTTTAAGCCAGGCACCGGTGGTTCATACCTGTAATCCTAGCTACTCAGGAGGCTGAAATCTGAGGATCGCAGTTCAAAGTCAACCCAGGCAAGAAAGTCCGTGAGACAATTTTTTTTTCTGGGTCCGGTCGTGGGGCCTGAACTCTGGGCCTGGGCGCTGTCCCTCAGCTCTTCAGCTCAAGACTAGCACTCTACCACTTGAGCCACAGCGCCACTTCCGGCTTTTTTCTGCTTAAGTGGTACTGAGGAATGGAACCCAGGGCCTCATGCATGCAAGGCAAGCCCTCTATCACTGAGCCACATTCACAGCGCCCGTGAGACTCTTTATCTCCAATAAAACACTAGAAAACGGGCCTCTGTGAGATTATCTCCAATAAAACACTAGAAACCCGGAAGTTGAGCTGTGGCTCAAGTGGTAGAGCACTGGCCTTGAGCTGAAGAGCCCAGGGACAAGTTAAATGATAATAATTTACAGATACTACAGTACTTATTATTTATTCATTCATTCATTTGTTTGTTTACTTATTTATTTTACCGGTCCCTTGAACTCAAGGACTGGGCTCTGTCGCTGAGCCTCTCTATGCTGAAGTCTAGAGTTCTACCACTTGAACCACAATGCCATTTCCAACTTTTTCTTTTTATGTGGTACTGAAGAATCAAACCTAGAGCTTCATGCATGCTGGCAAGCACTTTACCACTAAGCCACAACCCAGCCCCATACTACAGTATTTAAACTGGCAACCACCCAGAAAACTGGTAGTGGAGCTATGGCTCTAAGTAGTAGAGTGCTAGCCTTGAGCAAAAAAAAAGACTTAGGGACAGCACCTGGAGTCCAAGCACCATAACTAAATTATAAAACAAAAACTGGGGCTGGAAAGGTGGCTCAGTGGTAAGAATGATTGCATGGCATGCATGAGGTCCTGTGTTCGATTCCTCAGCACCAAATAAACAGAAAAAGCTGGAAGTGGTACTGTGGCTCAAGTGGTAGAGTGCTGGCCTTGGGCTGAACAGCTGAGGGACAGCGCCCAGGCCCAGAGTTCAAGCCCCACGACTGTCAAAAAACCAAAACCAACAACTACAACAACAACAAAAAGTAAGATAACAAAGAATAAAGAAGTATAATCAGGGACTGGGAAGGTGGCTCAGTGGTAGAGCGCTTGCCTTGCATGCACGAGGCCCTGGGTTCGATTCCTCAGCACCACATAAGCAAAAAAGAAAAAAAGCTGGAAGTGGCACTGTGGCTCAAGTGGTAGAACGCCAGCCTTAAGCTGAAGAGCTGAGAGACAGCGCCCAGGCCCAGAGTTCAGGCTCCATGACCGGACCAAAAAAAAAAAAAAACCAGAAGTATAATCAGAGATAAAAGTTCATATTATCCAAGAAATAAATTAACAGACATAGAAGAACATACATCATACTGGATAAGTAATAAATCTACATCTAGTTATTGTAATAGACTAAAAGAAAAAAATCAAAAATAAAGAAGCAAGAAAAAGGATAACACAAAAGAAAATACATAGGCCAAGGACAGACTTCTTAACAAAAACAGGTACTAGGATACACTGTGCAAGGAAAAAAACAAAGCTAAACGGAATTCATGTATCCAGCACCCAACAGAGTATTTCCCTCAAAACAGCAAAAACATACACAAAAACTGACCACTCAGACTTTATATCAAGTCTCAACAACTTCCAAATCATTAACATCTGTGCAGATTACACTTCAATCAAACTAAAAATAAAAATAAAAAATAGCCAGGGGTCAGTGGCTCACTCCTCTAATCCTAGCTACTCAGGAGGCTGAGATCTGAAGATTGTGGTTCAAAACCAGCCCAGACAGAAAAGTCCATGAGACTGATACCGCCAATTAGCCACAAGGAAATTGTGGCTCACGTGGTAGAGCACTAGTCTTGAGTGAAAAAGCCCAGGGACAGCATCCAGGCCCTAAGTTCAAGCCCCATGACCAACCAACCAAACAAACAAAAAAAGAAAGAAAAGCAAAAATATCCCCATATTATTTCCCTGGAAATTAAAGGAGACCTCTATGTATCATTGATAAAAGTATAAATAATAATGAAAACTATACTTAGAATGAAAACTATATTTAGAACTCAAAGCACATGAGATGAAAATAAAGTAATACTTGAAACAATATTCATTTTTTTCTTATTAAGTCAGAAATTAACAAAATAAACTTCAAGAAAGTACAGGATAGCTAATGGCTAATGAAGATACAAGGATTATACTCAATCTATGTGAAGTTCTATGTAGGCATACCCAGATGTAGCATCTCACTATTACAGACCCTTATTCGCTTTCCAAGCTTCAATATTTGGTTGTTGTTCAACTTAAGTCTCACTTGTGTCATGATGGCCATATTTATAATAAACATGTTAATTTTCTTTCTTGTCTTTATTTCCAAGCCAATGTAACAACAATTACATAGCATTTACTCTGTATTACGCATTATATATAATGTTCAGATGATTTACAAGTATATGGCTATAGGTCATATGCAAATGCAATATCAGTATAAAAAGGAAGAGCATCCATCCACTGCAGAAAGAAGAAACAATACCCAAGGATAGTGGCACACCTGTGATTAAAAGTTATTCAGAAGAGTCACAGGGGGCTGCTTCCAGATCACCAGGTACCGGTTTGCAGAACAGCTTTGCAGAACAGCGGATCGCCAGGAACAGAGAAACCTACCAGCCGGGAGTCTCCACGAGGATCCCACCCCTCACTCTCCACCGGAGCAGAGAGGCTCCATCCCACCAAAGCCGCTCGGCACCAGCAGCACGACAAAGGGACCACCCGCCCGATCGCGATGGGACCAGGCGATCGCGATGGGACCAGGCGATCGCGATGGGACCAGGCGGGGGCCCTGCCCCAGAGGCACAGGGGGCTGCCTGCAGATCACAACCCGCGAAGAAGCCGCCTGAGTGTGGACACTTTTGACCCGACAGCTTCGACAGAGG